CACTAGTGAGTATGGCCACAAGGCAACACGAACGCACATCCGTTTGTAACTTCAAAGCATCTATAGTACCTTGATACGTCGATGGGGGTAGTTCACGTAAGGTGCTGACCAGGAGATGTGACTTCGACGTTAGTTGGTTCGTCACACCATTCACGTCTAACTCGAGTAGGCCTCCAATCATTTCGACATAGATCATCTACGTTGGTGATCTACGCTATCTTATAATGTATAACAGCAACAGTACCAAAGGCATTTTTTCCTATTTCTAATCGACTGATTTGAATCAGTATATTCATAAAAAACATGCAGCCCTACTTACTAAACTGATCTGTTTCGTTACAGGCTTCAAGCACTATACTTAAGAATACCATAATTCTTTCAACTAAACTGAATTTTACGACAACCAAGGATACTTAACTATGCAAGTGTCATAATTATTGTTCCATTTGCACAGACATGTTCTTAAACGGAGTCAAATGAACTAAATTCAGCCGATAGAACCAAAACACGAAATATAGGCCAGTCGAACTTACCTAATAAAACGAAGGATACATATATACTGCTTTCATACTGATGACAACAGGCAGTTGTTCATAAAAACATAGTTTACGGTACAACAAGCCTTTCTTCAGTAAAATCATGCACTGGCAGTCTATCTGGAAACAATCAACTATGTGGATAAACTCGCTATGATTTGAGATATCATCCCAGCGTGCAATGGACGTACAGTGTAACGCAGTCGGACGTGGAGAATAGAAATTAAAAACAGAGCAAAATTAACTACATAACCTAGTTATTTAATTAAAAACACATTATGAAATGACAAAATCTGTGGTTACTTGAACGCACAGATGACCCTGGGCGATACATTAAGTTTACATGGTTGCGTTGTGGATAAGTTCACCCTACTAATCCTAGTCGCGGAAATTACGCTTTGTCTCCCATATATGCAAAAGAATCGTAATTTGAAGTCTTATCCAATAGGTGTGAAAAGCTACTGAAAGATCGGCCAGTATTGGCTGTTGCCACTACTGTCTGGTCCTGCCATATTTTGACACCGAAAAAGTCTTAAGAAAGTTTGCTAGTTATCAGACATTTTTTGCTTTGTTTCGGTATCGGCGGTAGTACTCTCAAATTGATTTTGTGATATGCGTTTGTTCTGCCATCCGCCTTCTGGATCTCCCATAGCTTCTTCTTACAAAAAGGTCGAAAACCATCGATTTAAATACTCCCTTTTTTTTGTAATGTTCACTAAACTATCAGTATGTTGTAAACGTGAATCTGCCACTTTTGTGACGAAAACGGAATTACAATAGTTCACTAGAGTATAATGTCCGTTAACACGTTTTTGCACGAATAATGTATGACTCGGTGAAACATCCGAATTTTTAGCCTTATGATCTCTCAGAATTTGCGTTGGGTTTACTTCAGCATCCATATGTTTTAAGGGAGAAGTTATATAATAATATGTATATTGAATAAATTTCGTAACCGCGAATAAGGGAGTGTCTTTTCTTTCTTCTCGGCTCTTTATGTGTGGTCACATTGACATTCGGTATCTATTGCCTATTTACATCATGTATGAATGAACATAATTACATGCTTAATCCATGCACACGTAACCTTAGAATCTAAAATAAATCTAATATACGTCATTTACTTGTGATTTGGTTGCCATTGTGTGCTATTCAAAAATTGCAATGATGTTGTAAACTCCTGTTACGCTGCTCTTAACAGCATCGCACCACTGGCCTGGTTAGTTGTTCAGTGACGCTAACGGATTTATATTTCGATTCATGCCGTCAGGGCCAACCAAAAAGTGAATTACACTTCTGAAGGTTGTTTCAAAAAGCGCTTTTAAGTAAAATTTATCCCTATCTCCGGATTCCCGGAAAATTCCGTGAAGTTTTTGGGAAACTTTGGGGTTTAACCCGAATAATTTGATGATGTCCCAAAATGACTTAGAATTTTGAGGAAGAACCTCTGACCAAAAAATTCTTGGGTTTTTGTCGTATAAACCAAGAAGTAACTGTTTCAGGTTCTCCGAAATTTCCACAAAACTAATAAAAGTTTGTCCCGAAATTGAGAAATTTGGATTGTCGTCATTTTATTAGTCAATATGCGATTTTGCTGTGAAAGCCATTTTTAGATCCTGTTTGTTCATACATAACGTTTTTGATTCAAATCATTGATATCTATTTCAATATATTACTATTAGCTTAACGTTTTCCTAGATCTTTTCCTGGGTCCATTACACCTTTTTCAATAGCTGCGGTACTTTGTCGGCTAGGTCACGTAACCTCTTCATAATTGCGATGTCGACGTTACATGATTTTGTTCGGAACTTCAAAAAAGTTCCGCAAACAATGAGAGAAATGTTTGCTGCGAATCCTAAAAGATTTTCAGAATTCAGGTTACTTCTATATGTATTCTCATTGTTTCAATTCCAGTCAGGTTTTGAGTCTTCCTGGCGGTACTATTCTCTTGGACTACTCAAAAAACCTAATTGACACTCAGAGTTTTGACCAGCTTATCAAATTGGTTTATCCATATATTTTTCTTAATACCATTTCAGGCTAGAGATAGTAATGTTGAAAAAATGCGTGATGACATGATGGAAGGAAGAAAAATTAATTTCACGGAAGATAGAGCCGTCCTGCATATAGCTCTGCGAAACCGATCAAATGTCCCGATTATAGTCGATGGGAAAAATGTAACTGCCTCTTTTATATAACCATTTAACTAGGTTATGCCGGGAGTTAACGCAGTTCTTGAACACATGTCTAAGTTTTGCGATTCTGTTAGATCTGGTGAATGGAAAGGCTACACAGGGAAGCAAATAACAGATGTTGTTAATATTGGCATTGGTGGTTCAGACCTTGTGAGTGTCACCTTTTTTTACATCTCATTTTTAACTGTAAATTTTTACTAATCAAGTAAACGTTGAATGGTTAGTACGTGTTGCGAAAAATTATTTTTAAAAACCACTGAATAACTTCATGCCACTCCACTCACTTTTGACACCCGGAGTTATTATTGTTCACTGTTGTAAGTTTCATAGAATCATCCAGGCGTCCTTATATGAGGCATCGAAACAAATGCTCTATTTCAGCACCTTTCCTCGGGGCTTTGAATGAAATTTTTTAGTGACTGTAATAAAGTAGCTTTATTTTCTCTTACTGTTAAGGGTTAGCCCACGTAGCTAGAATTCACTCATATGACCTCGATAGCTTGTTTTTTCTACCTGTTGATGAAGTGATGAAAGATACTAGTGTTATACTAGTTATACAAATAGTGGAATGATTTGGGCTAAAAAATTTAGTGCTCACGATTACGTACACCCTAACTCATCGAAATAGCTAGCGTTTCTTGAGACTCGCCCATTTTTATTACCACTTCATTCCCGGTTGCGTAACTGTTCTACACTTTTCAGCTAAAATCATCCATTGGCTTAAAATCACTTAGAATCTTCTAAAGAATCAGGCACCATTGAATAGAACTAACCAGCACTTTTCAGAACACATAAAGAATGCCTCTGATATAGTTATAAAAGCTCCACTACCACATCAAACAAATAGAAAATGTCAACCGTTTGGCTTCCTCAAGGTTAAACCCCATACAGACGTAACACTACACCTTTAAAGGGAATTGTCAATTTTTTCTAGCAGTCAAATACTTAGAATTAATCACCATACCAATTCTTCACTCAGTGCTTTTCGTAACCTCAGCACTAACTTCGAAAATATCATCGTGTATACACCATCATCTCTATCAAATGAGTTTAATTTCTTTTCTCTCATAGACCAATGTACATACTGCCTCGTAGCTGTTCCTCTTATTTACGTCTTAGCAGTAAAGGTAGCTAAAACGCTAGATTTCTCATTACGAAGCGTCAACAGTCACTACGACTGACAGGGAAGCATAATTGGAAAACTGTCTTCAACTACTTAATAAATCACTAGGAATCAAATATTCACAAAACACCATATAATTCAACATCAAACGATTTGATAAAAGGTCTACTTTGGGAGCTTGAAGGTCTCCTCACTGCTGCACTGGATATTAATGATTGGGACGCAAAATCGCTGATTATGTTGATGCTGAGATTGATAATTAAACAAGATATTGGATGTTGAGCAGCTGAGTTGGTTTATATAACTAATTTAAGGTTACCTGAAAAGTTCTCTACCTTACATAAGTGTTCCACTTGGTATAGTTAGTTATGTGTAATGCCCTATATAACTTATGAGTGAACTGAAGAAATCACGTGTTGTATGACAATGATGAACACGCGTTCAACAACTGGCTGATCACGTACGTCTTTTCGTGAAAATGGACAACATCCCGTTCCCTTCACAAATAGTGTACAATGGGCTACAAAGTTGTAAGGAAAAGCAATTAACTCATTACCGTTAACAAGCAAGGTAAGACTAACACTATTGAAATTGATAAAGCAACACCTACTTTCTTTGTTGATCTGCATACTGACGGTAGGAACTATATTCAAATTTCCTTCCTAAACCTACACGACAAATGAAATCGCTTACAGTGCTTGCAATAAAACCTGACAAAATACCGAAATCTAAAGACGCGTCGGTTAGCCAAAATGATATTGAGTCAATTGTGTTTCTTTCATACATGGAAATCTTTTGACCAACATGTACATTCCACAACACATGACATTGTTATAAATCTTGTGACATGAAATGACCTAAATGCCAAGAGGGCACCAAATATATATGCGCCACACATTACTGACAATATACTACTATACGTATGTGTTATATAATATTACATCAAATCATTATCTAATTAACTTATTTCCACCATTCACAAATAGTTTATTCAAAAATGGAAAATATTTGAGCGAACAATTGTTTTCGATAACGTCATCATCAAGCTCTACAGTCATAAGTCCATAATTATTGTGATATTTTACAAAGGTCAAAATAAGTCATGCATTCATGAATTTGGCAATGTTATATGTCAAAAAAGGCGAACCTTCGCATCTATTATAATATAAATACTCCAAAAACTGTTATTTGTAAATTAGTAGGTCATTTAATAAGGGTCAGAATGATTTGCAGTAAAGTGTCAAGTCACGATCAATATAATATAACGAAATAAAAAATCGTGTGAGTAAAATGCATAGTATAAGAATTTAGTCTTGTTACTCGAAGTAGTAATAATAATATGAACATTGTGTGAATTTAATTTGTAATAAGAGAGGTGTTATCAAGGCAGTTGCAATGAAAAGGAATTCGTGTGAATTGGGACAAATGATTGTGAAGTTTATGAAAGATGTAAACCCAAAAGGAAGTGGGAAGAGGAATAAGAGGTTTATAATATCCAATATAGGTATCCGGTGATCTAGTCGCGGAGCAAAGTAAACATAGATGCTTGATATACTCCTGTACACTTAAGTTCAGTTTTTTGGAGTTCATCCACATGCATTCAGCTATGTAGAGTAGCCGTTATCTAGCTCTTTTAGGTAGATTATTTGGAACTTGGTTTAAAAAAAGAGAAAGCTCCATCTATTTTGATATGATGCTTACCGTCCACCAAGTGAGAAAGAATGGCGCTGTTAATCGATGTAGATTACATGTAACTTGGCAACGTGAAGCGTCCTATCAGCAGATCTTTTGAGTTGACGTGTTAAAATATCACCCGCTATGTCCCATTTAAAGCTCACTTTCAGATAATGGAGGTTTTTACTGACCGTGTCAGTTTGCTCTTTTTTCATTACCTCTAATGGAAAATCCCTAACGTAATTACCTGGATAGTTGTTGTTCCGTAGTGTGTTCTTTAGATTATCTACTTCCTTTTCATTGCAACTGCCTTGATAACACCTCTCTTATTACAAATTAAATTCACACAATGTTCATATTATTATTACTACTTCGAGTAACAAGACTAAATTCTTATACTATGCATTTTACTCACACGATTTTTTATTTCGTTATATTATATTGATCGTGACTTGACACTTTACTGCAAATCATTCTGACCCTTATTAAATGACCTACTAATTTACAAATAACACAGTTTTTGGAGTATTTATATTATAATAGATGCGAAGGTTCGCCTTTTTTGACATATAACATTGCCAAATTCATGAATGCATGACTTATTTTGACCTTTGTAAAATATCACAATAATTATGGACTTATGACTGTAGAGCCTGATGATGACGTTATCGAAAATAATTGTTCGCTTAAATATCCTTTGTTTTTAAATATTTTGCAAACGTGGTTCCCGCTCTGTATTTGGAATTGTCATCGGTGTACTGTTGTGAAAGTGTAACTAAGAAGGTCAAGCGACACGTAATCACAGCCAGAAATTATTCCTCTTTATCCAGGTATCAGGAGTGTGTAGTATCATCCACTCAATCACATTTGGAGGATCTCGTAGCCTTCTCTATAAATATGAAATAGTTAGGTATTTTGCTTTCTTCGGTTTTGGTATGTTAAATATGATTTATAAAATTCTAGCAGTACGATATTTTAGTTTTGTTTAATTTGATTTTTTAGGGTCCAGTCATGGTTACAGAATGCTTGAAACCTTATGCATCACATATTCGGGTACATTTTGTTTCAAATATAGATGGAACACACATTGCGGAAACATTAAAGAAAGTAAATTCAGAGACAGTTCTGTTTATCATCGCCTCCAAGGTAGGTATCCTCTGAGTGTCTGCCACTTCATACTCGTTACATAATTTTGAAATATTATTATTAAACCTTTACTTGTTTTCCAGTAACCTAGCCAAAAGTGGAAAATGCGTTGTTGAGGTTCCAAATATTCATCGACTAAGGCGTTTAGAACGTGTGTGACGTATGCCGAATCAATACATTCGATGCTCGATATGGGCCAGTGTGGGAGTAGATTGAAAAAACAGCTAAGGGCGGTCAAACCGAAATGTGTCAGTTCATGTAGTCATTAACGGTTAGTTTACCATGTTAGCAGATGCGGACTACCTTGTTAAAGTCTGTGTGATAGCTGCGTTCATTGTCTGGAGACGAGTAGCATGGTTCACCTTAAATCACAGTGACACGGACCCATGTAACGTAGGTCCTATTTTTCCATTCCTATCCCTTGACCCGCATTCCCAGTCCTCAATTTTTTTCAACATTATTGTTGCTACATCATTTCATTTCCTTTGTTAGTGTGGTATTTCAAATTGGGCAACATATTTTTACCGGGGTTTACGTTAATGGCAATCGACCAATTCTCTTTCTCCATAAAATCATTGATGGCTGGAACTCAAGTTTTGTTTCTTGTTTGTGTTCCGATCTGGATGTTAGCTTGGATCGTCACACTTATTTTAATTTTATGGCTTGTGTAAGTGTTCTAACCAAACACTTTTTCTTTTTAGACGTTCACTACCATTGAAACGATGACCAATGCTAACTCTGCCAAAGAATGGTTCTTAGAACATGCGAAAAATGTAGGTAACGACCGGTAATGTATTAGGATTCTCCGTTAAATTTTGTTTTCAAGTAATCAGTTTTCGCTGTTAGGTGATTCTTTATCTGATGTTGGTTAAGTATAATACTTCATAGATTTGATGCAACATAATACTTAAAAGTGACATCATATAGTATTTATAACAGTAAAGTTGTTTATCTCTTACCTGCTTTTACAGGTTTCTCACGTGGCCAAGCACTTTGTCGCCTTATCAACTAATGCAACAGAAGTCTGCAAATTTGGCATAGCACCGGAAAACATGTTTGAGTTTTGGGATGTAAGTCTACCTCAAAGTACTATGAATATTATCCTGAGAGTTTCTTAAGTAAATTGCATATTTCAGTATTTCTGTAATTTCGATAGTATCTTTAAGCCGTCGATATATATTTATAGTAGCCAGGCCTGTGTACTAAATAAGGCTTTGGTTCCTTGTCAAACGCACGATTTTGTTTCTTTATTGTTTCTCAAAGTTTCACAGTACAATCATTATTTCCAATCTTTCTCATCGGAGCCAATTCAAATGACATGCATCCATAAACTCGGAATGACTAACAGTATTTAAACAAAAAGCGGTTTATATCCTTCTTTTGAATTCCATTCAGTGATAAAAATTTCTTCAAAGCCTAACAGTCAGTGGAATCAAATGTTGCCTTTAGTTTGGAGATAGCGACTACAGTCGGGGCTTGGTATATATATCTGTGTCTGAGGGTAACTATTTGGTCACTAACTTCTCAATCAGGTCTGAAACCGGCTTAGATTTCTCAGATTAGTTGTTTCGTAGTGCCATTTAGTTGTCTTATAATTATGAATACGAGTAAATTAGATACTCTCAGTTACCTTCAAAATAATTTATATGAACATCCGTCAATTTGAAAAATTCCTTCGTCGAAACTTTTATCCTTCTATATTCTATGAATGAACTGAAATTTCTGTCTTCTTTTAATTGTTGTAGTGGGTTGGAGGTCGTTACTCATTATGGTCTGCCATAGGTTTATCTATAGCTCTTTACGTAGGTAAGTTGTTATGTAGTTATAATTTATAATCCGCTTGGTTATTAAACTAATATTGTGTATCTCTTCGTACGAAGTTGTGATTTAATGGTCTAAACACTTTCGGTGTAGAATTAAATGTTCATCACATAGAATACAATAATTTACTCCCAAACAATACATTTCATTTACAATTTGCCATGAATTTGTATTCATAAAATTTGATGTTAAACCAAACTAGTCCTTACATAGAATTAATTTGGACTGTTGTAGGTTTTAAAAGTTGTTGATAAGCGACCATACTTATCAACGTTTTCTCCATGATCAACCAAGCTATAGAAGTCTTGGTGACTGTTTACTTTTGTTCGAGACATTTATTTTATTAATCTCTCACTAAACTGAATATTCACCAGATAAATCGCCTTGACCCATTGCTTTTTATTTTTGTCTCGTTTATTGATTAAGCACTAACAGTCAACATGTATGCTTGTAACTTGCGCATATGTAGTAGTATAGCCTTTCTTTATCTACTAAGGTATGGAGAATTTCATTAAATTGTTGGAAGGAGCTCATGAAATGGATAAACATTTCAAAGAAACGCCATTACATAAAAACGTAAGTTGTTATGTCATAAATTTCTTTATTAATGCTGCTCTAAATTGTTATTCTTCCGAGTAAATTATGTGTGAACTAATATTCCTAAATAATAAGGATAAATATGAGAGCAAAATTTTTATTTGTATTAAAGTCAGTTTAAAACTACATAAATTATAAGTAACGTTTTTCTTATACAATAGTGTAATAATTATAAAGTCATTATATTCTATAATCATCTAGAATATACTAAAAATAACCCCCAACTAATGGCTTTTAAAGAAGCGAGACGTTTTTCTTGAAATTCTTTTGACAAAAAACGACTGTATCGTTCCTGCAACTATTATATTAACGAAGGATTAAGAAGTAGTCAAAACAGCAGTTCACAAAACCAACCAAATAAACAGTATTTCAAAATTCAAATATGAAGATGACCATCTTTAAAATTAAATTCCACATCACTCCTCTTTTACGCGAAATTCTCTCCAATTGTTTGATTGTTTCATTTTTATCAGCCGAAATTGGTATCAAAGCGTTACAAAAACATACATGTTTTAGTATGTCACATAGTTCTTAATAGATTATCTTTGATAGATAATCTTACTTACGTCTGTTACCACTCGTGAAGGAGCATTGGTTGCCCACCAGTATTCTCCATCAAACTCTGTCCTGGACAATCGTTTTCAGATTCTATTCATTATTTTGATGTTTGCTTCCAATCCCCGATGCAATGTGTTCCTTGTTCACGGTGTTAATATTGTTGGAACTCTGATTCAGGACGTTGGTTTAAATAATCTACCAGCTGATGATCACAATTTTCGTTAGTGAAGAAATAATACTTTATTAAAAGTGACGAGTTGTTACATTCTATTAAAACTCTCGTTTCACACTAGAGAATTCAGTGCATTAAGAAAGAATTGAGTTTCAGATCATATTTGAATAGTTAACTTCTCCAAAATTTATTTTTCTAATAACCCTATTACGATGAAACAAGGAACTCAAATCATGAATTTCGTGTTTAAGTATAAAAACATGTATGTCAGAATTAAAATGAGCTAATGTATTTTAATCTTTATTTATTTATTCAAACACATAAACATTGGTACAAGGAGGCACCAAATATATATGCGCCACACTTCATCATTCGATTTGTGTGAGGTCTGGAATAATGTCTGGGCACCCAAACCGAAGCAGGGCGTTTTCTTAGGTGGCCACACCCCAATAATGTGTTGTATGAGCGTTCATTCAAACCCACTTGTCATTCTGTTACATTACTAACTTTCAATCTTTTAACCTATTTCAAAATTCATTAACTCCAACCTCAATATCAATGTGAATAACAGTGTTGTTTGATATTGATACACTGGTTTAATATAGTTTAGAATATATAAAATTTAGTTCAAGTTGAATTTAACAAAATAATTTTTAGTTAACCATTGTCCCATTTACAAACTGCTAACTTTATCATATTATACGAATCGTTAACATATATTTCATATATTTAATTTTAGTCAGTAAGCTTGTCAAATCAGTATAATGTATATAATATTTATTGTTATTTTACGTAATTATTCGTCAACGTTCATTAATGTGTGATTATACAAATGTATAGATTAAGTATTTTATTATCAAAAATCCGATAGTAATTCATCAAACTTATATTCAAATAGATACAAATAAATAACAGATTACCTTTATTTTCGTTTCGAGTATCTGTCCATCATTAGTAAATGTATCAATAGTTTGTAAACTATAATGCCAGATATTTTGTTGATGAGGTCATGATCTAAGTCAATATAAGACGTTTAATGTATGATGACCAGAGATAATATAACTTGAATTAACGAAGCTCGGTGACCAACGTAAGTTATGACACTAAAATGAGTGTTTATAATAACATTGCTTGTTATTTAGTATAGCAGATGTCACCTGCTAAAGTGAAGATATTATGGATACTACTGGTAAGTGAATACATGAGTAGACAGAGTATAATCGGAATGACCATCAAGTGTTCCTTCGTATTAAGTGATATAAGTGTAGAATTTCCAATGTAGAAGACATTATGATGAGGCGTGCGACACTAATGATGGAATTCAATCACATCATTGTACATGATACAATGCAACTGGAATTGATTGAGGAGTTATAACATAACTATTCAATACGGAATACTAATCCTTCACAGTGGTTGTACATAAGGTAGTTTGCCTCTACTTGAGGGAAAACCACCAAATTAATGGCTTTTTGAGTAAGATTTCGATAGTATTCTTTCCTCTATAGTGTTAACTATATACTAATTATGACAAGAATGTAAATCTTTCAGTAGCACCAATATTTTCTAAATAGATTTTGTCAAAAAATAAATGATTAAACTTTAATCAACAGCTATTCGACATAGCGATGGCTACCTGTCAACAATTTGACAGAAGAACTACTGGCTTCACTTATATTTGTGCGTTTTTAAATTTTCTTTATCCTTCCCTAGCTTGGTCTTTGAAAATGTATATTTTTTGTCGGATAAGAATATGTTGCGTAATTTGAAGGTTAAAATGATTCATAAGTTGCTATTATACTCTCCGTCGTTTGTAAATTTTTAAAGTTAACGGGCCATTTAGATATATCACCAGCTTTCAGTTTTTATACTACCCCATCTCTTCACGTTCATTTTTACATGATTATGGCTTTCTAATTAAAAGTAAACATGTTAACCGTAACATTTTGTTCTCTGAAGTCCTATGTTCACTTACCATGTGTAGTATCATTTTTATGTCTAATTATATAAGTAGTTTTGCAAAATAATAAATATATTTTACTTTATAGCTTCCTGTCATCCTAGCTGTGTTAGGTGTAATGTATATCAATATTTATGGGGCAGAAACTCAAGCAATTCTACCATATGATCAATATATGTCACGCTTTGCTGCATATTTCCAACAAGGTGATATGGAATCGAATGGAAAGTTTGTTAGACGTGATGGCAAAGAAGTTGATTATTCCACTGGTCCCATAGTTTGGGGTGAACCAGGAACAAATGGTCAACATGCATTTTATCAACTTATTCATCAAGGCACACGGTTAATCCCATGTGATTTCTTGATACCAGTACATACACACAATCCAGTTCAAGGTGGCTTACATCATGAGGTTAGTGCGGTATTTATGTATGGTGCTAATATTTACAGTTATATGAGTTCCTCCGAAATAATTTTTTCTGGGATTAGTTCCAGCTAATTTGTTTGAAACCAAAAAGTAGTTTAGACACTTCATTTCTGCAACTATAAAATGTGAGTTAGTAATAAATACATGTCAGTAAATTTCTCGAGGTTCACGAAAATAACAAAACACGTATATTTACCACGAATCGGTTGCTTTTTCATTTGCGTATTCCTCCAGTCGACTTGTTATACATCCTCATCAACCCTATTTTAGTAGTCCACATTCTGTACAATGATCAAACGGACTACAAGGAAGTTCAGGTCTTATAGTTAAATCTATGGTAGTTTTAAATATTTGTTATCTTCCTCTTGTTATAACTAGTCTTGTTCTTCAAGGTAAATGGCTGTCAAATGTACATTATACAAATTGAGTGTCTTAGTATATAACATTCTGTCACAGAATAAACCTAGTATTGGTAATTCCATAGCTACACTGGGAAAAATATCTGGTTGTATTTATTTATTTGAACACATAAATATTGGTACAAGGGGGCACCAGATACAAATGTGCAGCACAACAATAATGAGAATGGGAAGAGATAAATGATGTAAGGTGCGTGTAAAAAGAAAAAAAGGAACAATAATGACCACAAATTGGCGTATGGTAGTGAGATAGTAATAATAATGGGGGAAACAGAAAGGTACACCCAGAAAGAATTCTTACAGTTAAAGAAGTTACGGTCACTGTTTATGAAGAAACTAAAAGAAGGTTACAGCAGAGTCGCCACTGGCTTCTATTCTGAGCCATATCTGATAACGTCTCTAGCCACTGTGTTGCACCATCTCTCGGACCCCACCCAGGGAAGAAGGACCAACAGAAGCCAGCCCTTTTCAGCTATCATACTACGACACCATGTCATGCACTGACCACCTCTCCGCTTTTTCCAACCAGTCCCAGCGTCGGCAAATAACCAAAAAGTCACCACCATCTTTAGAAAGGGCCGGAGGTAAGTCATCCGGACCCGGTGATTTGTAGCGTTTAGAGTGGGAGTTCCTTGCGAACTTCCGCCTCATTCGGTGGATCAGTCATGTGGTTGTAAATTTTAGTACATTCATAATTACCTTATCACAAGATTCGCCTTATGGAAACAAATCTTCACTGACGAAACACTTGTATCTTTTAAACCTACTGTAAATGATAATACATTCCTTTAACGAAATCTGTTCACAACACAATTGCTCTCTGTTTTAAAAATTGCATTAAGCATTCAGTTCATCAATAACTGAACTCCTTGTTCAAATCACACTGCATTGTTTCCAGTTTAAAAAATCTAAGTGACATCTCCATTTCACACGTTACATTTAACCGTTAAAACTAGTGTGATAAAAATAAATAAAATATTGATTACTCCAAAACTTTCTCTTTGGAATAGGTTTTATCAACTAGTCATAAGTTTTGTGACTTTAAGTCCGGCTAGTTATCATGTGATTTATTCGCCAGTCAAAATACGACTTATTCACTCTTGCATTGTACTAAACCAATGACGTTCGATCGGCCTGATCAGCTTAGCGTCCTTATTGATCCTTTGCTTGCCTAGCCCGTCCAGTTGAATCCAGAACACCAATAATAGCTTCCGCTATGTGAACCCTTTATTTCAAACATACTTGGTTTATATACCAGTCAAACAGACCGCTTCACACCATAAAATAGGAAATAACATCTATACAAAATAAGGCCAAAAGTGGCTATGAGCGTGGGAGACAGTAATCAATAAACTGAACATAACTTAAGTACAGTAAATCGTACAATAATAATTTATAGGGGAAAATGAAGCTTATAAGAGGGATGTAGATATGCACAGTCTAGTTACTGAATAGTTATACAATAACAATATATATATATAATATTAGTCCATTAATAGTTCTCAGAATTTACTCGTAATTTAATCTCCACTAGGATATAACAATAAGCAATGTAGAATCCGGAGCAAATATACTTTAGCCTAAGTTATTATACCACATCAGGACGACATAAAAAATATTAACATAATGAACAGCAAATGAGTCCAAATGATCTAGTTGCATTGATAATGTGCAAGACTAATAACTGAAAAAGACTTTGTGTATATGAATACTGAATATCATGGTCTAAACAAATATAAGGAATGATTAGATCTGTATCATGTCACCCAACGCCTCCAACCACTGATCACTGTTATCGCAAGAACTTCAATCGACTAGTCTGCATCAACCAACTTGACTTAAGCCAACAGTCGATGACTTCATGGGCTGATGTCAATTATTGGGTTTCCCATGCTTTTTGTACATTGAAGCAGTTGTTTTGTCTTTCTGTACGAAAAGTCCTTTAATTCAGCTAAGTTCAAAATGTATTCACTTTGTAAATGCCATTCAAAATTAATAAAAACTTTCGATTCATATCAAACAGAAAAATGTTCACATCAGTGCCTTTTTATAAATTGCCAATATGCAATGAGCAGATAGAGTTGGTTTCAAGTTATTTGTACAATACATTTCCGATCGCAGATTTTGCTTATGTAATCAGTCTAAGGTTAATAACAAGAAACAATTAGTCCTAAAGGACGATTGGAAACATCGATACTTTTTCTATACTACATGATCTTTTTCGAACATTATTATAATATCACTATATTATAACATTATTATTATTACACTAAGCTCTCTAAATGTTTTGTTTTCGTGTTCTGTCGTAAGACTAACGGGTGGGGAGCAGTCATTGCCCTCGAAAATTTGTACTTAGTTTTATAGAATTTCGCATGTTTTCACCAGCTATTTTTTTATTTGTTTATTTTTGTTCTCATGTCAGATAAAGAATATGAATATTTCATGATTAAATCATCCAGCACATAGAACACAACATGCCTTAAAAATTTCTCTGGACTACTTGTGGGGCTACTGCAAGAAAAAGGAAGTTGTCTCCATTCATTGTCTAGAACAGTTGTCGTTAGAATTATGAATCTTATCTGTCAAACTAATGTTGATCTCATTGAATTACCAGTAGTTCTTTAAGGTATTGCGCTTTAGCAAAAATAATTAAGGACATTCATGTAAGCCATACATATATACAACAAACATATATTTAGACTTTATAATAAACATGCTAACCTCAAAAGATCTATGCATAATAATTGTCTATCCTCAAACTCTGTTTTGTTTGATTCCTCCTTGTAGTTATTGAAACGTTTGATTTCATATAATGTTTTAACTCTCTTTGTGATTGACGATAATTGTATTATGTCAATTAATACACCTACCAACATTCCTAAGTATTTTCTAAAGAATTCTTTATTCTATCTACTTATTTAGATTCTCCTATCTAATTTTTTGGCTCAAACTGAAGCTTTAATGACTGGTAAAACAAAAGAAGAAGTTCATAAGGAATTGTTTGCTGCTGGAGTTACTGGCGACTTATTAAATTCACTTGCATTGCATAAAAGTTTCAAGGGTAATCGTCCATCTAATTCCATTGTGTTCACCAAATTGACACCATATATTTTGGGCGCTTTGATTGCTATGTATGAACATAAGATATTTGTTCAAGGAATTATATGGAATATTAATTCTTTTGATCAATGGGGGTAAGTTATGACTTTTTCTATGTATATTGTGTTGATTTATGTGATATGTTTATTTTTAATTACACTTAACTGGATAATAGTGTGGAACAATGTCTTATTTATGATGTCTGACACTCAAGTACTAGGTCGCAAGATTGAGTCCCACCCAGCCTTCTTCGGCTTGGGCAGTTGAATGTTATCATTAGCTCTCACATAAAAAGTGTTGCTGAAAGTTGAGTACACGAATCTGTACCTGAGAAATGAGTAGCATCATCAATAACTATTTGATATTCGTAAATCGACCCACTGCAAATCAATAAAATGTCGTTTCTTGTTTTCAGCCATTGTGAATAACCATAAATAAAGTTGTATCGACTACCGTAAATCGATGTATGTAAATGCTAATAATTATTCATAGCATAATTAAGCGAGCTATTCGATATAAAGACAAACAAATGAAAATAAGTAGTGTGATAAATCGTGATTTCATCAACAAATTCAAGAGAAGAATGCTAATCGATGGCTGCTGACGCCATTAAACTATTAACATAAGCCGCCAATTCAACTGCCTACTAAAGTCGGGCATTTTTCATTGAATAACGCGTTTATCTGCAAAGAACTGAACTCAAGAATAAACAGGATTAGACGTCATTTAATATATAAACGATTACAACATATGAGATCCATAGGTCATTAACTTTCCCATAAAATTAACGTGTAACTATCTGGCTTAATTCTTACTTCGTCATATGACAGTAGCAAATAAAGATTGTCCATCGAAAAAAACTATCCCAGTACACAGTGCAAAAGTATTTGAAATAATCGCAGCGATTAAAATTTAAATAATTCCGACACTTCGTCCAACAATTTTGTTTTGACTTCTTCAGCATAATAATCGAGATTGTTAGAGAATATAGAGTTTAATAAGCAAATCTACACTAAAACCTTATCCAATCATATTCAGACACCACATTTTTTTAGTAGAGGAACGTGAGTCCATGAGATGGGAGTAATTCGGAAATCGATGAATACGTACGTATGCGCACATTTATGTTAAAATTCAGTAAATAATTCTATTCTCTATCTAATACCAAAGTTTTGTTTACTAGTTTTGTTTACCAAAAATAAAAATAATAGTAGAGATTGAATAGTATGTTAAAGCGTCAAACTCTATGTAAAATGAGAAAGGAGAAATGCATAACTGTGATGTTTAGGCATTAAAATCAGTTGTTTTTAGGGATAAAGCTACTTGTATTATAAACAGAAAGGACAGAGTTAAGGTCCAAATTACTTTTTCATATGCAATTGATAAGGTAGGTTTGTTGAATTTCATCCATTAATGTTCAGACTTTTCTAATTAGCTCGTATAAACATTGCTTTTTCTTTACGAGTACTAAACCTTTTATGAAGTACTTTGATCCCTTCAAAGTTGATTTTTTGTCCCGTTTCTAGTTGATGTATCGCCATTCCTAATTTCTTCCAACTTCCTTAAGGTTAATCGAAGATTTACAAAAGGATCATTAAATTTTATTCGCTACGATTATTTCAAATACAATTTTGCACATAATGTCTCCTACAAACTCAGAGCCCAACTTCTATTAAACTATTCGTTCAAATATTGAGGAATGTTCATATATGTGAATAGTTCTTGTAGAATGCAACCCAAAAACTAAAGACTGCACTTATAATTCTAAGATATGTCTTATTTTTCTGTTGCACTAAAAATGGTAATATAAATTCACTGCTTTGTGAATAATTTTACTTATAAGTGGACTGTTCTATACATACATGCTTATATATCTCAATATAAATCAAACGAAATCATGAGTCGATCAATGTTAGACTACAATTAAAAACCTAAGAGTACTAGGCGGTCGTTTTATTTTAGTACGAGACTCCTCAGCAGTGCGCATCCATGTTCTTGCACACGAGATTCGAACTTAGGACCTTCGGTCTCGCAATATCATGTATTGGATGAAGTCCGGCATTAACACCGTTGGGTACCGGCTCAGTGGTCTAGAGGTTAAGCGTTCACGCGCGAGACCGAAGGTCCTGTGTTCGAGCTCCGGGTTGTGGATGCTCACTACCAAGGAGTCCCATACTCGGACGAAACGGTCGTCCAGTGGTTCCAGGTTTTCAATGGTGGTCTAACATTGATCAGTTCATGATCTTAATTAGAACTCAGTAATCTCCACAACCCAATACTGGTAGTTAATCAAATGATTAAACACTGGGATTTTTTTATTCACAACCATTAACAACTGTTAATACTTGCCCTAGTGAACATTTTACACATTGTTATTACTTCAAATATGCCTAGATGCTTCTAGATAATCGCAATGATTATTTTACTTTAAGTTTATTTATTATACTTCTATACTCATATGTGTATGTAGACTTCTAATAAATTTCAAATATTACAATTAAAAACAATTTCCTTTCTCTTTTATGTATCATAAAAGTGTGGAGCTGGGAAAAGTGTTAGCCAAGAAAATTCAACCAGAATTAACTACCAATGAGCTGGTTACTAGTCATGACTCTTCAACAAATGGATTAATTGCATTTATTAAAAATCATCGAAAGTAAAATCATGGTTGCCACACGGAAAAAATAAAAAAAACAACCGGAAAATCTTAATGAATTCAATCGTAATTATAATGACAATTTTAATGAATAAATTTAATATTTATATTTGATTTAATCAATTTCTTGATAGTTAGTAGTAAGACAATATTAAAGTAGAAAATTTTGATACTATCAATAACAATTACCGTTATTACTATTATTACTGAACTATTGTTTAAACTGTCGGCCAATAACCTTCATCGGCTCTCTGTAGTTTTCTTTTTTTTCATTAGTTAATAGTTATATATTTGTGATATAAAATGATCGCATGATTACTGAAATATTGATACTACTATTCTGATCTGAATAATTTTTAATTTCTAGTTACTTTGTCTTATCTGTCACCTTAGTGAGTAGTATGGTCTCTTGTACTGCTTTTTTTCGGTTTTGTTTACTAGTTATACTATATACGTTTGATTGATTACATGAGAGTGCATGAATAAATTTTACTCTCATTTAATTTGTATACCTCTCCCTTACTTGATATCAATTTTGGCGATGAAATATAAAAACCTTTATGAACTATTGTGTTGATTTTCAAATACAGATCATTCAGCAAATAAAAGCTATCTTCACAGTTGAATTTACGAGTCGATCTAAGCTATACCACTACTAGTCCCGGGTTTGAGTTCCGCGTGTGGGATTGTGGATGCACACTACTGAGGAGTCATATACTGGGACGAAACGGCTGTCCAGTTCTTCCAGGTTGCCAGTGATGATCTAGCTTAGATCGATTCGTGAATTCAACTGTGAAAATACTGCAATCTCTACAAATCCCCATACTGAAAGTTATCTACTTAAGTATATCCAAAAGCTTCATGTGCATAGAAATTCACATACAAACTTTGCTTTATTAAACTGAAGAAATTTGTAATCCCTACTTTTACTTAATGAATTAGAGAATCTTACTCAGATTTAATTTTTTGACTCGTTAAGTTAATGCCATGGACAATTTGTATCCCTTACGTTGTACAAATAAAAATATTGAACATGTAACAGCTATTTAAACCTTATGGATATATGTTTGCGTATATTACTCTGAGGTTTGAAGTTAATGTAACTGATGAGGTTCTTAATTGTTGTTTCAAGCGTTATACACGTTCTCACCACGAGTATCCTAAATTAAAAGACTTTTGGCACACTTGTGAGCAAAGGATAAGCTACCGGAGTACTTACTTAATTTTATGGTCTTTGACAGGTGTAATAAAATTTATAGACGTCTTAAAAAGTAGCCCGATGAATCAGTATAGAGTTGTGGAGACTGCTGAGTTGGCCGAGCACTATCGTCGGTTGGATGAAGTTAGACATTAACACCATTGGTTTAGAGGCCAAGTGTTCGCGCGTGACCAAAGATCCGGGGTACGGGTCCTGCGCACGGGGTCGTGGATACACACCGATGAAGAGTCCTATACTAGGACAAAACGGCCTTCCAGTGCTATTAGGTTTCTAGTGGTGGTCTAACATTGGTCAGTTCATGATATCGACTAAAATCTATTGGACTACATCATATCGATCATTGCAAGCTATCGGTCGGGTTCATACTTCAGTATACTTCCAGGATTTTGTTATTTGAAATATAATGTTTTTTTTACATCAGTTGCTTGGTTAAACTGACTTATTTTGACTTTCAACATGCAAATATGCTAAACCCCATGAACTATTATCTAATATTTCTATACAAGTAAAATAAAATATAAACACTTTTATGATGTTTTGAGAAAAGTGCATATCCCTTTTGTCTCATAACTATCAATAAATTACGACTAACTCTTTATGTAACAGTGTTTCTGAATAACATCCTGTTCTATCATTGTAACGTTTCATTCTCTATACTTTGTATTATATTATATGAACGTATGCATTCGCACTCAGAGCATACATTAAGCAGCTACTCTCTATTTTAGTATTATGATTTATGTTGATTACGACTGAATGGTTGTTTGTCTTTGTGTTGTGTGTAATTAAATTGAACCTATTCATTATGGAAGCGTTAATTTTACATAATCTTAAGTCAACTATTTATGTACAGAAACAATCCAATTGCTTTCATTGTCGTAATCCAAGTTTTCTTCAATTCCTTCATGTTTCATTTTCCTCCTTATCTTTAATGTACATAATTTCTTTAAATCGTCCATCGTTCTACATTATAACACTTGTGTAAAGTTCAAGTTTTAATTCCTTATTGACAGTAATTCCCATTTGTACACCTAAAAATATCACACCATATTATCAGTATATATAAGAACTTTCATCTAAATTTAAACTAACAGTTTCACAGTAATTAGGCGCCAATTCCATGTAAGACATTAAGGAGGAAGAATATATTTGTAAAATCTCAACGATTGAATTTCAAGTAAATCCAACATTTTGTTCGGCAATCTGATCCAAGCTTTTTCATGAGAATATAGTCAAAATTATCGAATATAAACAGTTAACTGTATGCTAAATAAGTAATCCTTCACTCAGTATACCCTATTTAACTAAACTCAGATTATTCTGTTTATGGTTACGAACAAACCTTTCACCACATTAGTTGTTTCGTACACCTTTTTAGGTAAAATCACAAAGAATTATTCATTAAATTGTTTATTTTAATGCGCAATTAATTTTTAAAAATTCCTATATGCATAAAATTTGCCTATAATGTTCGTGAGCAGTATTATAGATATGTTTGTAAATAAAAAGATAAATATTCAGAGCAATGCAATCAAGCTGTGTGTTATGATAGACTAAAATGAGTTCTTTAGTGCATGTACTCTATAGTTCATCAAGTTATTTCCTCTTGATAAAGTCTAGTTTGTTCCATTTATCATTGGCATTTCCCAAATGTAAATAGCTCCATCTTCGCTGACCGTGACAATACTTTTTTGATCTGGTGATATATGTAATCTTGTTATTGGTGATGTATGTCCCAGCCCTACATGGGTTATTTCACCTTCATTGTACTTCCAGACCTGAATTGTAGATTTATGTCAATGATTAATATATTTTTTAAAAATATGATTTAACTGATGAACTATATACGTCTTAAAGGTAAGGTGTTAAATAATTGGTTTATATTTGCGAACTGCAATGTCGTAAATTAACTCGTATGTCTGACAACTGTTTATAAAATCATACGTTATTTCTGCGATTCTTTTCTGTAATAGACGAACCCTTTAACCTTTAAACAGATTACCTTCGAAAAATATGAAGATTTACATTCTTGTCATAATTAGTATATAGCTAACACTATAGAGGAAAGAATACTATCGAAATCTTACTCAAAAAGCCATTAATTTGGTGGTTTTCCCTCAAGTAGAGGCAAACTACCTTATGTACAACCACTGTGAAGGATTAGTATTCCGTATTGAATAGTTATGTTATAACTCCTCAATCAATTCCAGTTGCATTGTATCATGTACAATGATGTGATTGAATTCCATCATTAGTGTCGCACGCCTCATCATAATGTCTTCTACATTGGAAATTCTACACTTATATCACTTAATACGAAGGAACACTTGATGGTCATTCCGATTATACTCTGTCTACTCATGTAATCACTTACCTGTATTACTCATGATGTTTTCACGATACTGAACAACAAATAATATTATAAACATTCAGCAGTTAATTGGGTAGTAATTAGAAATTACTCACGTAAACAATTCAAAATTGTTGGTAAGCACGATAATCAACATGTAATGAAAACTAAAGCGTAGGCAACTACCATATTCTATTACCCAGTCTTGTATGGTAAGCAAATTATTTTGACTTTCATAAAATAAAAGACGGTTTGTATTTATTGGTCAAAGAATTACATTCACATCTTATAAACAGTCTGTTAAGAACAAAGGCTGACTGGCATTTAAAAAATATGCAGTCAAACATATTCACTTCAAATGTATTTCTAATTGCTTACAAAAATCACGCTTATTACTACTTTTGTGTTATTTTCTAGCAAGCTGCTTTGATAAGACATTTAGCCTATCTAAAAGTCAAACTTTTTATTAAATGTTTACTGATAAATTATCTTCATACATCTGTTGGTTTCGTTAAATCGACCACCGAACGAATAGATATATTCTGACAGCTTTCAGTTAAAATTTAATAACGCTATTATCTTCACCTGCTATTGTTTGTTTGAATCTTCCTGTTGATGTTTAGGACTGCAAATGATCAGTCTCTTATTGGCATGTGTGCGTATTACCTCGATATACCCTTAATTCACAAGCATTATATGCAAAGATGCAGGTACATACAGCTGACGAGTCCCTGATAGGACGAAACGCGCGTCCTGGATTCCACTGCTAGCCACTATCCATCTTTGCATATAATACTATTATGTGTTTTTATTTTCAGGATGAAATGGTGTTCTGGTGCATAAATTTGTCTAAGAGGTTTATTGTTTTTGGTTATGTAATTATTCCTCCTGCCTCTATGGTTTCTACTTCAGGTAGATTCATGTCTATGTAAACTGAGAAGTTAGCTGTATATATTATTATTACGTAACAAACAACTACTTTGTTTATTTACTTTTCTAAAGTATACTATCACTGTAGTAACATTTTTTGTCATCATTTTCGCAAAATGATAAATATTTCTTACCTTGACGAGTTTATCATTTCCACCTGTAACGAATGTGTCACCATCATCTGTAATGTCCATGCCATTAACTGAGCCTGTTCGTGAACCATCTAATTGTCTTATTAATGAACCATCGTATACCTCCCAATAACCTATTTTTCTATCTGTACCAGATGTAATAATTTGACATTCCGTTGGATGATAACAAACACATCGGAATAATGTATTTGAAAAGATAACTTGTTTACGACGGAATGTTCTGGAAATTAATGAGTAGTAAAAATAAGATAAATAGTGATACTTTAGAAACTATAATAACTTGTGCACTAGAAATCATTATTATATATATAGTAGCAATGACTGTACAAATTCCTGCTACAGTCGCGAGACATCTCCAATTGACTGGAAACGGAAATTTTTACCCTTTAATATTGAGTTGGTAGTAGAGTTTTGAGTTTGATCCTTTATATATCGTTTTAAATGTACACTGTTAAGACTTCTGGAATTGAAATGTAACATGTTCACTGCTTTCTAACTTCCAATGGTCCATCAACTGAAGTTTGTGATATAAACATCAGTTTGAACATTTTCTTCAAACGCTTTAATTAGTTGTAAATATCATTTTCTTTATTTATTTAATCAGTTTCATCATGTTTTACAAAGAATAACTCATTGAAACATTAGTGGTAACTTTACATTGTATTAACTCGAAGAATTTTAAAAGCGGACCGAAGAATTTTATTGTTTTGTTTAATTTTAACTAAGATTGCGTGCACTTCCTCGAAATAAGTCCCGTCTTAAATGAAACCTGGTTTCGGTGGTTGGTGACGTCCTTCGAACTATGAAATATGAAATATTTTTAAAAGTATTTATCCTTTATACCTTGATTAAGTATACTTCTTATGTAAGTTAGTCTATGTTATATCTCAAGGGGCCGCTGATTATAGGACAGTGACTTATCGATCGAATCAAGGGATTCAGAATCTTG